ATGATTCTTAAGAAGCCACGTTGCATAACCTACATTCATCGCACAATGTTCCTTTTCACCGCTTCTCAAAGAACATGAACAACTCCACCACTCGTGCGAGGAGTTCTTTCTTCATGCAAGTTGCGTAGCGCCCTTGCTCCTACGAGTAGCTGCTGGCTGCCACGGGTTGCTGCTACGAGTAGCTCATACTACGGCCTCCATGACTCCCCACCCCAAAAAGAAACAAACAATTTCTGCATGAGAACCAACCGACTCCCATCCTCCATCTTTGACCCCCCCAAAGTTCCAAAACTGTCCTCTCACAGGCTCACAGGCCCTCGCTCTCTGAGCCTGATCCACCCCTTGGCAGGTCAGTTTTCATGCTCAAGAAACTTGAGATCCTTTGGCCAAAAACAAACAGGCCTAATTACTGCTCCCTACCAAAATGCTCTGGTGCTTCAAACAAACTATGTCAACTGGTTTGGGCACAGGTTGACAGTTGGTAGGTAGAAACCTGGGCGTCACTTGCTTGACAACTGTTCAGTCATGTCTTCCGGCTTCGAGATCGTTCAAGTTATTTTTCTTTTCTGCCATTTTGGCTAGAGCGATCACCAGGCACTCAATCTGTGGGCCTTGGTGCGATCGCTAATGGCGGATTCCAAGGCGGCTCCAGTGAAAGCGGCTCCAGCAAACAAGGCCCCACCGAAAGCGCTGCCAGCAGCCCTCCAGAGGCAACTGCTCAATGCATGCGAGGCAGGGTGGCACTTCATCAGTTAGTTCCTGGACTCCTGACATGTCCCGATACCTAATGAACACCTTCACCCTGTCCAAGGTCTTGACCACGAAGATGTTAAAACGATATCCGCTGGAGGGAGACCTCACTCACTATACTTGCGATTTTGAGGCTCTAGACGAGTCAAGCCTGATCGAGCGTTCATCCTCACCAGACCTGTTCAGGCAACTGAGCGCTCAATCAACTCGGCGAGCATCCTATTCTTGTTTCGGCCTCACTTTCCTCGACGTGGGCGTCTCAGTCGCGTGATCCATAAAGCTCTGACTCTGAGCAGCTTGCGCGCTGATGCTGCTGCTGCTGTTGTTGAGCAGCACTAGCTGGTGGTGGTGGTGGCGGGGCCGGAACACTGAGCAACTGTGGGCAAAGGAATGTCGGCTGGTGGGAGCTCATCATTTGTCGATTGACCTGCCTCTTTGTCATCTGGCAAGGTCTGGTCGAGAGCGGCTGCCGCAAGAACCAACTACGCGGGTTGGTCGCAGACACACAGTTGAAGCGCCTGCCAGCAAAATTGGCAGTGATCATTGCTGACGATTCGTTGCTGGGCGCAGGAACAAAGGGCTCGCGTGGATGTCGATCTCTGCAGCGTGGAAGACCAGCTCCACGATGCAAGATCATTTAGCAGCTCGTCGAGGCAAGGCGGAGAAGGTTGCTGAAGAGCTTGCGACCACTGATCAAACCTCGGCTGCCATGTCCGAGTCGACGAGGCGCCTCACTTGGTTGGCGTATTGGCCTTGACAGTTTGTCGTCCTAGATCGAAATCATTGAATTTAGTTTCTTGACCCGTGCTTCTTGGATCGACTTTGACCAGTGCAAGTTTGGAGCTCCATCTCCCAGGCCAACTCGGTTGATAGTTTTCTCACCGACTGTTCCAGCGATTCAAAAGCTTGAGGCCAGGTTTGGTCACCATTTTTCAAAGCGACGTGTTCGGGGCTGGCCCTAGAGCAAGGCATAAATTGACTCCCGCCGGTGGAGTGGGTGAAGGGAAAGCAAATGAGTCAAATGAGCAACGTGTAGCCAGCAAAGCATAAGCAAGGCAGCTTGTCCTCAGGGTGGGAGACGCAACGCAAACGGCAGAAGGGGTGTGTGAAAATGCAGAGGTGGGAAAAAGATGGAAAAAGTCAGTCGCGAAGGAGGTAACGTGAATCACGAGTGGGCTCAGACCGGCGCTGAAAAAGGTAAAAGGTCACTCTAAAGCCATGCTATAGGATTTCGAAAAGTCTAGACAAAGGGTCGGTGGCAAGAGCTTGATGTGAACCGTGGTTGGTGTAAAGTGGGGTGTGTTGCAAACTATGGTTGGTGCAAACCGTGGTTTGGTGTAAACGGCGGTGTGGTGCAAACGGTGGTTGGTGTAAACGGTGGTGTGGTGTAAAGGGTGGTTGGTGTAAACCTTGGTTTGGTGTGGCTGGTGTAAACGGTGGTTGTTGCAAACCATGGTTTTCGGTGTAAACAGTGGTGGGTGTACACCATGTTTTGGTGTAAACGGTGGTTGGTGTAAACCATGGTTTGACGTAAGCTGTAAACGGTGGTGTGGTGTAAACGGTGGTCGGTGTAAACCTTGGTGTAAAGGGTGGTTGGCGTATACGGTGGCTGGTGTAAACGACGGTTGGTGTAAACCGTGGTTGGGTGTACGTGGTGGTTGGCGCAAAACGTGGGCAAAATGCCTTTAAAGCCACGCCAAAACGCTGTGAAGCGCAGGCAACGCGCGCGCAGAACGACGACGGCGAAGGCGACGACGACGAAGAAGGCAACGACGAAGGGGGGAGGGGGGGAGCGGGGGGTCAAGTTAGTCGAGGCAAAAATCCGCGCAAAGGAGCAATCTAAAAGATGAACAGCTTTAGTATTTGACAAGACAAGTACAAGTATGCGTCCACAAGACACGCCGGCAGGCCGGCAGATTTGGGATGATCGCACAGCCCGGTTTGCGACTAGTTTTGGGTTGGTTTCCATGGATGCCAGAGGCTGGCTGGTCAGCCCCTTCGTTGGTCTGCTCACTGGCAAGCTGCCAGAGCCTTGAGGGCTGAAGCTAGCTCAAAAAAGGCGCTTGTAAACCCGTGGATCGAAGCTGAGACGTGTAACTTGTGTTTTTTTGGCGCCATGGCTGAAGCGATCGCCAGGCGCGCAAGATCCAACCCGCCTTGGGGAAGTTCGGAAGGAGGTTTGGAACGTCGTGGTGGAGGTTCACCAGTTGTTCAACTTAGGGAGCTTGTGAAGAGAAATCCGCGAAGAAAGTCGCCCCTTTGTTGCTAGTTGGGTGATCACCCCAACCTTGTTCACTTCACTCTTTGATCAACCGGGTGCCACGCCCCCATTCCTGTGGTCTCTCGGAAAATAACAGTGTTCACGCTGCTGCCGCAGACACTTCTCAGTGATTGAAGAAGTGAGCCGTGTGAGCGGATTTGTCCGGTAAGTGGACTCGGTGATTTGTGGCAAGAAGGTTCTGTCACCTCCCAAGAATCGCCGGGTGCATAATTGAATCAATTGAACTATAGAGCAAACCATGTCAGCAACATGTTTGTGAAGCAGGGTGGTTTGAGCTGAGGATGTGCAATTGGAGAAGGCATTCCGTTGGACATCCCGGTATTTGCGCAATGCGGAGCCACGACACTTTGAAGAGTCGCCGGCAACTTGTCTTTGAGTCGAAGTGGATCACCTGGAGCACTCATCAAGAGCCCTTCCCAGTACGCGCAGGTAACGTAGTGTAAAATCAGAACAGGCGACAGAGTGATGTCGAACCACATCCGAATTTCTTCAGGGTTGTGTCTGTGTGATTCAGAGTCGGCTGCAATTTTTGAGGTCAGCCCTCAAACTCCGCAGACACCGGTGATACGCAGTCCCTCGCAGCATCGGCTGCCAACATGGAGATGACAATCACCCCAAGTCATTAGTCATTTTAACACCGAGAGTCGAGACTGGCTATTGCACGTTATAACGAATCTGCTGCCGGGCGTCCAAGTAGCTTGCAGTCCAAATCAACAGATTGAGACTTGCCCAATAATGTCCCCTCCTGGATGTGATGACAATTCTTAAGAACATTGAAATTAAACATAATTTTTTGTTTGTATTTCGCAGATGAACCACAGACCCATCATTCTTGTTTCATCTTGGTTCTCGTCTTCCCGTCTCTGGAGTTCCAGTGAGTTTTTGAACTCGTTGGCTTGCATCATTCGGTGAATGCATTTGAGCGTCTCTTGAAGAGCCCGCCTTGTATAGAGAGTAGAGACGAATAGAGCTTTCCGCTTTCCTTCAAGAGGACGGGGGAGCTACGCCTTTGCGCTGTCAATCCAATCCAGCATTGTTTTATCGTGTTGCATTGGATTTGCTAGCGCGCAGCTTGTTAATGAGATGCAGACAAACGCTCCTTTGTGGAGTGTATGGCAGCTGCAGAAAAATGACAACACTGAGGAAGTGTCTTCCATGTTGGCCCACGAGTTCACGAGGTTTGAGTGCTTCCACATTGCTGCCTCATGATTTGAGAATCCGAGATCAAGGGGACAACAGAAGAGGGAACAAATCATCGAACGCAAAAGGTGCAGTGCAGAGCAGTCACAGATGAGCTGAACTCAATAATACTTCACCAAGCACATGCACGTTTCAATGTACACAGACAAGGTGAGATGAACCAGTTTGAGCATTGCTCCAGGTTGCTAAACTGAGCTGCTAAGCAATGCTTTCGTTTCTCCTCGCGTTCTCACGGTTCTAGATCTTGTACAGTTTTCCAGGATGCTGGGATCTTGGGATGCCAAGTATGTGACACCAAGAATTAGCCCGCTTCGCGTTCAAGGCCTCCCAAATCCAGAAGGTTGAAGCGCAAGCTCAGCGACATTGAGCTTTGCACACATCAAGAGGCGAGGGCAGTATCAACCCTGATTGGCCACTTTGAAGCAACTTTCCCTTTCATTGCATCCCATTGCCGTATGCACAAGAAGAGCTTTAGGATTGTGGCAAGGGGTGGTCAAGCGTTTGCCCTTGAGCTCAGGTGTACAGATTAGTTCGCGATCAACACATACATTTGGCGGAGGCACTTCGGACAACAAAGTTGTTTGCATTCGACAATCACGAGCACGAGCCTTTATTTATCGGGGGCAAGCACAAGCACACTTTGGCATTCCAAAGATGCGATGATGGACTGCCGTTCCACCACAGTGGATAAATGGAAAACTTGGCCTCCCTCAGAGGTAGGGGAGCACAATTAGTTGACAGGAGCTCTACACGTTGGCACGAAGTGAAAATGAAGGCAGGGATGCAGAAGGAACGAGTGGGAAACAAGACAAGTTGCAGGCATTTGTTCCACTTTCTGATTTTGTAGCATTGTGTGCAATATTCGCATGCAGAGCAACTTTGTTCCGTGTATTGGGGATTTGCGTGATAGAATCGAGAGATGTTTCACTGAAAATTGCCACCGGCAATGAACAATTGACATTTTTGAAAATTGTAGGAGGCCATTGCTAGTAGGTTGGAGGCCATCAATCGCTATTAGGTTGGAGGCCATCGCTATGAGGTTGGAGGCCATTGCTCTTAGGAACAATTAGGAGCAAGACAACTTCGGTCCGGCCTTTCGAGTTCAACATGCCCATGGCGGACTGTGGCGATGGAATTCAAGATGCTTCATGTGCTGAACAAAGCAATGAGCTCCGCTACCCTGTTGGCTCAAAACTCAAGGGTAGCCAAGAAGGGCTACCTTTTTTCATGAAAAAAGATCTTTTTGATACCGAATCCGATTGAGCTCAGCAAGCTCACTCCATGTACGGCTCAACACCGGCACCACACGTGGCGGAGTCTGAACCTGAGAAGAACTTTGTCGAGTCTGCGTCACCATACGTGGCAGAGTTTGTGGGCTCGTACCTATTGGTTTTCACCATTGGGGTTTGCAGCATTGTTGCAAACCCTTTGTGGGGTCCAACTGCGGTTGGATCAACACTTGTGGTACTTGTATACATATTTGGTCCAATTTCGGGAGCACATTTGAATCCTGCTGTGACAGTAGCCTGTGGTTTGGCAGGCCAAATATCTTGGCAAAAAGTACTGTCATATTGCATCCTACAGATTTCCGCTGGTTTCGTAGCAGGGCTGGCATGCTACGCGGTATTTCAGCTTCCAATGGGAGTTTCTCCCGTTGACCCATTTAGTTTTTGGGATGCAGCCTTCTTGGAAGTGGTGTACACCGCGATGCTTTGCTTTGTAGTTCTCAGTGTAGCTACCTCAAGGAGAAGAGATGACAGTTTGCAGTGAGCTGAAGATTTGCCAATGTATTCATGTCTCGACAATTTTCCAAAAGCACATAAAGATCTACATATTTCTTAGGTGCAAGAGCAATGCAAACATGCGAGAAAAAACTAAAGCCATTCCTGTATTTGGTACTGACCGGCGCACCTCCATGCCCACTTAGAGAAAGAATCAGGTGACCATTTGTAAGGATGGGCCCAGTATGTTTCTCATGTATGATGTGATGACATCAGTGATCCAACGACTATAGATTATAGTTAGTTTATGCTGAACCGACAGCTTGCCCAGCAGGACAAATAACCCAGCCAACAACCAGAACAACTTCTTTGGGCTTGCCATTGGTCTTGTCATAATCGCTGGCGGTCAAGCAGCGGGAAAGATTTCTGGAGCTGTCTTGAATCCAGCGGCTGCAATTGGTCTAGAAGTTGCTGGAGCTGCCAGAGACCACTCTGCCCCATATGGCTTTGCGTACTCGGCTGCTGAGCTTTTTGGTGGAATTGTCGCAGCAGCTGCCTTTCGCTTTGTACGTCGGCACGAACTTTCGGAGTCTGAGCCTAGCTTTACCTCGGGAGTCTTCTGTGAGTGCTTCGGTACCTTCCTTCTTTGTTGCACCATTGGGCTCAGCCTTACACAGCAGTCAGATTCCACGCCTTGGGCCGCTGGTGCTGCCTTAGCGTCCATTGTTTATGCAGTACATGATGTTAGTGGAGGCCACATCAATCCGGCTGTCACTATGGCCGTTGTTCTCAGTGGAAAGTGCAGCCTCGAAAGAGGCACGAGGACAGTCGAAATGCTTCAGATTGTTCAACAGTTTCACCCATTTTAAGTGTTTCCGCACAAGAAGGAGAGTTTCAACTGTTTCAAGCGTTGAATGAAACCGCTTCTATATGTTTAGTAAGGACCAACAAGGAGTACTGACGAAGTAAAAAACATCCTAGGCGGGAATGGAGGAGAGGCATGCAACTACCCCGTGTTACTAGGCTGGCCGTTCTATTTGCAGAAGGGAACCCCCGGCTTCGTGGCAGGAAGGGGGCTGCATTGCATGCGAGAGCAAATTGAACACTGAAAAGAAAACTGAACAGACTCCATGAGCCAACCTGAAGCAATTCCCGTGCTTCACCCACAAGCTTCAGGGTGTTGTGTGGTCCCGAGAAACGATCGAAGGGGATGTTCAGCATCCAAAGTAAAGAAGTGGGGCTTCTCATGAGTCTGGAACTGAACATGGATCAATCGAGCAACCTTATCGGAAAAGGGCATAGGTCTGTGAGACCTTTAAACAGCACAAGTCTCAGCCCCTTGGCCAGTAGAGCGCGGCACTTCTGTCGGAACGAATAACACAAGAAGGCAGAAGTCTGTACCGCACAGGGAGACCTGATCGCACAAGTCAAGAGTTGAGAGAGCCACTCTAGTGACTCTAGTTATTCGATCAGAAGCATGGAGCGGCACAAAGCCCTGCACAAAGGACATGAAGCTGACGACAATCTCCATTCAATAGATTCCTATGTTAGCCCTCCCACCCAGCCATCACCCAGCAGCTGAGGGACCGAGCCTCCAGACCTCAATGAAGCCTCTTGTATTGCCTTCATAATACAATCAAACAGTACAAGCATTGACCATGCAAAACACACCGCAAAAACCATCACAGCCAGATCCTAAGCGCCTAAGCCTCAATCCAGCACCGAAGCTCACAAGTAAACCTCAAAAGAAGACGAGGTTTGGAGGCTTAGGGGCATTTGCGCAAACATTCCAGAGTAGATGTTAGAGGCTTCATGCTCACTGCTTCCATCCAAATTACCCGACCAGGATAAAATTCCAGGCCCGGTGTAGAAGAGAGATCGTTGTGACCTTTTACCCTCACCGCAGAATTAGTGGCCGAGAATCTGCATGAACACTTGCTTGGGCAAATAGCTTTCTGGCTCCTCACAATTGCACAACCAGAGCATCAGGAGCCAGCGTGATATGATACCTGCCTGGGTCTCGAAGACATGCGCAGGCCGCAGGCTGTGAGTATCTTCAAACGTCGGAAGTTGGCCATCGCCAGACCCCGCCGCCGGCCATTAAAGGCATCGTGTGCTGATAAGGAAGCCAGCTCAGCAACCCCACGCCTCACCAAAATGATAATATTAATATATATATAGGTTTCAACGTGGAAGCGGCGTGCTTTGATCATCGCATGAAACAGCCGCCGTCAAGCAAGGATAGTGTGGCTCAACGTTCATTCAATACTAGTACCATCTTCACGCATTTCATGATTGACTTGGGGCCCCGGGGTTTGCCAAAGCGAAGTCACCATATGATTTGTTTGTGCATCAGTTCCAACCAAAACGGTGCCACCTGACAAATGCCACGACCTGCTGCCACAAGAGCCGGGGCTTCAACAAGATTTTAGGATCAACAGAGCGTTGATGCATGTCTGACACCATAACTGATGTTTTCACATAGGGCGTATGTAGCTCGGAGGATCTCCTTCACCGGTGCAGGCCCAGCCTATCCCAGCCCACTTGTTCCCCCAACACCTAAGGGGACCTTCGCCAATACACACGAAGGAACCTTTTTTGCAGATGCTCCTGCAAAAACCTGCAAATAGTTGGAGGCCATCGCTCTTAGGTTGGAGGCCATCGCTGTTAGAAACAAAGAAACAACGAGAGAAAGACATAGAAAGACTAGTTGGTGTGAAACTCGTGGTAAGGCATGGTCTACTGGGCCGTACAGCTGTTTGGCGGCCTTCTGGCAGGAATTGCCACAGCGGCCTACCATGGTATTGGAGGCATCGCAACCTCCAACCTGGAACCAAATGGACTCTTTGCAAGAATAGAGAGAGAGAGAGAGCAATGCGACAGACATTGTTGTTTTGTTAGCCCCTGCGAATGCAGTGCCATCAACCACGGGCTTAGAGCCATCAAACACAGCAGGGAATAAGAACAACATCGGTGTTTTGGCACTTTTTAGTTTTTTAAACGATGGCAACATGATTCCATGTAGTTATCGATGAGAGCATTTTGTCGACCAACACGCCGTGAAAAAGGATGCACCTATTCCGAGTGTCGGGACCACATCAGTGCTCAAGTTGAACTATATTCGATCGTCCAACCTCGCCGTACAACATGCCAGACTTGTTTTGGATCAAACCTTTTCCTTGATCAAAACCATGGCTGAACACTTTCTCAATGGAGTGCCGTTTCTGAGTTTATTTGGATTGAAGACTTCTTGTGTTTTACTGATGTGTGCCTAGGAGACTTTAGCTGGATGAGCGTGTTGGCCGTCGAGACAGTCTTCACATGCATTCTCTCCTTGGTTGTTCTCAAAGTCGGCCCGCAAAGCAATTTTTACTTCGGAATGGCTATTGGATCTTGCTTGACCTTGGGCGGCTTTGCGTCAGCCCAGATTTCTGGCTTGATGAACCCGGCTGTGGTGTGGAGTGTGGCGATTGCAAACTTTACCTCTTCGATCACTTCAATTTCGCTGCTATACCACTGCTTGGCATTTTGCTTGTTTCAACTTGCTGGAGGAGTTTTAGCTCCATATTTGCATCACCTCACAAAGGAGATCCCGTACACGAAGTTCCGCTCTGTTTTGGACTGAGCGCAGAGTGTTCCAATTTCAATAGCCAATAACAATCTAGCACAGAACACCTGAAACGCGTGAAGGAGATAGGAAAACAGAGTGTGCGTTCATGGGCGTGAATTCATGTGGGAGGCTAAGTCAACAAACAGGTTGATAAAAACATGATGCTGATGGTGCTTCAAGCCATTTCAGGCGGTTTGCCCGGCCTTCTGAACTATTGCACCGGAGAACATGGCCGAAAGAAGCCGTGGTCTCAGAGCAGGGTCTCATTCGATTTGAAATAGATTGCAAAGAACTTTCGACACACTTTTGAAATAGATCCGGCACATAAAACAGTTTTGAAAGGGTCAGAAAGACTCACGGATAGAGAAGTAATTCCTGACTGAAACGACTTCCAGAAAACATGTTGCAATAAACCATTGCAAAACCACTCGTGGCCTGGAGATGGGCGACGCAAGGAACCTCCAAAAGACTATCGATGCAATTTGGTTGTGATCGACTCAATGCAGAGAAAGAAATGACTTTGTATCTTTTTAAACGCCCGCTCCCTACTTAATTAAGTAAGCGCCTACTGGAGAGGTAGCTAGTAGGTACAGGACGCTCCTAGGTAGGACGCAGGATAGCTCACGCACTGGTCATTTGGTTCCTAGATTTTTTGGGAAACAGAACTAGTAACAAGAAGCTACTAGGGGCTCCTGGCCTCACTACTAGGAGCAAGGACGTTACTAGGGGCTCCTGGCATCGCTACTAGGAGCATTCTTACTACTAGGCCAGGAGCTTTCTCATCACCTAGGCCCACTGTCCAGGACATTCTTTTTTCAAGCTTGCTCGGGGCGCGTAGGCTGGCTGTGAGGAGGTTTTTTCTAGGGTAGACCTAGGACCAAATCTTTATCTTCATTGGTTCCTAATTGGATTATTGTAGAACTTAACTTTGACATGAGATCGACAAGCTCAGCCAGCATCCCAAAAGCTATGCAAATTGGAGCAAGTGATGAAATGAGTCGGATGACGGATGAGTGGTCAGATTTGTGCCAAATAGATGCTGCTGCTTAGCCGACTGCAGGAGTCCGACGAGCACCAAAAAGATTTGTGCGACGATCTGAGCTTTATTTGATTGCTCATCACCCTTTCTTGAGGTGAACTCTTGGGTTAATGACAGAACAAACAATATTCATCAACACGGTCAGCCTTTTCTTTTGGGGTTCTCTTGGTGTGTCCCTTCAGGTGGGCCAAAGCTTAAGGAGCTCCAAAGACGAGCTCTGAAGCCAGCTGCCAAGAAGCAATCATTCCATTTGAGTGAAATCCACCAGGAGCCATATGGAGCCATGCATAGTTCGCGTGAGCTTTTCACATGCAATCGCAAGAACAGTGAAGTGGAGGTATTCTTCTTTGCCAAGGCCCATGAACAAGAACTCTGACCTCGATGCCTTTGAGGCAAAGGGCGAAGACGAGACTTCCAGTAAGCCTTGCAACATTTGGCCCTTCCAAGCAAGTGAAGCACCGCAGTTCTAGTTTGCACTTTCGTCACCGATCATGCTTTTGAGGTGGTTGACGTCTGCCAGCAGCCACCTCAGCCTAAAATTGAACGGACTAGTGGGGGAGTTTGTGCGGCAGGGTTTTCTCTGCCCGTTTAGTGCTTTGTAATTAGAGAAGAACCCCCCGGCTGTGTTGTCATGGAAAAGATTATCTCTTTATGTCTCTTTTGGTTATTTTGGTGTATATTATTTTTCCGAAGAACTTTGCGACTTCTGATATCAAGTCTAGCGCAGTGCCTCAACAGCCGCCAGCCTGCAGGGGAGGCTTGCCTTGCATTCTCGATGCAGGAATGACATCTGAGCTTGTTTGAAGTTGCAGAATGTGGCTTGCTTTGTTAAAATCCTCTCGAGCCTCTGCAGTCTCCAACATGCATAGAGTTTATGTCGGTTTAACCCAAGCACGTCAGGATTCAGGCGCCTTGGACGTCATGCACCTAGAACACCATCACGTTCGCAATCCTTTCAGACACACACACACACATTGGTTGTGGGCATCCTCACACTGCTGCCATGACCGTACAGATCCGTATAGTTCTGAGAAAAGCTGCAATCTTCCGCAGGCTGTCATCGTCTTTGCTTTTGATGAATCTTGGGCCCTAAAACAGTAGTCAGTCTGCTTTGCCAAGATACAAGATCCACCAGCGAGGAGCATTGCTTCTTTGAGCGCCACAGAACACTCTGCTGCGGAAGCTTTAACGGGTGTGCGAAGCATGCTTCATGGCAGCAGATGCCTTTGCACCATGGTGATCTTACACAGGACACGATCTACTTGTTCGATCATTTTGGCCGGCAGGCAGGCAGAGCAGTGATACTTCTGAGCCTCATGATGGCAGTCTGTTGCGTAGCTTCAATAATAAACCAGATAGATGGAGGCTGAAATCATTTTCCGACCTTACTGTGGGTCTTGAGCTCAATTTGCGCAACAACAAATCAAGTTGCTACCTTCTACATTTAAACTACGTGCTTTGCTTCTTTCAGAGACTTGTACCAGATGGCAAGTTAAGCCTATTTTTGTTTGGCAAGACTTTGCTCTTTTGCAAGGTTGTGGCGGCTGCGTGACTTGTTTGAGGTAGGTAGTGCGGTGCTACAGAACGGCAACATCTAGAAGTTGAAAGATTATACGACTATTGCAGCAAAGTGGGACAGCGGTTATTTCCTGTCAGAAGACTCGGGACAATGTGATAGTCAAGAAGATGACTGATCAATCAACCTCCACTGACAGGTACTCGTTGCTTGCCGACAGCAAGACGGCTTAACATTTGCAGAACCTAGTACCAAGCTGAGAGTGGGCGCCTGCTTGGGGCCAACAAGATACATAAGAGATTATAAGATACATATGCAGATGATACAATTTCCGTGATAATCTGCATTGTTCTGGACCAGTCCATTTTGCATACAAATTGTGTAACTCCAGCACATGTTTTGAGCGTCCTGCATGTGACAGTTTCTCAAAGGTAAACCATTGTTGGCTATGCTCAGGAGTCCAACATGAGACCTTCCATTGCATTCTCAATGGAAAAAACAACATTCAGCTCTCCACCCCTATCAACACTTTTTTCTACTTTGCTCAATGCCCTTTGTGGCTATCTACCTACTGACTGTTTTTCAAACCGGAGACAGGCTATCCAACCCAGTCGTAGTGCTTGTACAGAATAATGGAACAACCTGCTGCCCAACCTCTATTTATTATTTATGTAGTTCTTTGTTCTATGTCTGACGCCGCCGGACTTTAAGACAAACTAGGGACAAAACAAACTGTTTTCTCCGTAGGGTTTGGGCTCTCAGCCAACGCAAGAGTGCCGTTTGCGCGGCATCTCAACCTCGGAGCCTGATTCCATTTGCCCCTTCTGTTGTGGGAGGAATCGTTTCTGGCAGTCGCTAGATCGACCTTGGGCGCTGACAACTTGCGTGTCTGGACAGGGATCATCGAAGAGGAGTTGGATAAGATCTCTGAGCTGGAACGGTTGAGAATTGCGGCAGAAGGGACAACAACTCCAAAGGCAAAGAGTGCAGCGAAGCCTTTGGAAACTCTTACGGAGGGGTGTAAGAGGGGAGAGACCGAGAAGCCAGACAAGAGGTTGGGATCTCCCAAAAAGAGGAGGATAGGACTGAGAGCCCACAGAACAAATCATTCGAGGAGTCCAAGCAAAGCCCACAGGAAGAGGAGCAGGACAAGGTCAAGATCAAAGAGAGAGAGAGAGAGAGAGAGAGAGAGAAGGAAGAGACGAAGATCTAGGGGGAAGGAGTCGAGGAGAAAGCCGAGAAAAAGTTGAGGAGAAAGGGAAAGACAAGAAGGCTTTCAGTCAGGCCACCAAAGACCCCATCAAAGTCACCGCCAGCGACGAAGAGGAGTGGACCACCACTATACCAGAAGCTCGTCCAAGGGGAGCTTGGCAAAGCCCAGTATTGGAGAGCAAACAATGGGACAAAAAGGAAGGAGAAGCAGTATTGCTTCGGGAGGTAGACCCGAGGAGATCTAGTCACAGATTCGATGCCACCAAAAAAAGAGGCCAGCAGCTGATCTTGTGCCAGGGGGGTAGGGTGCGTAGGGGAGCGAGGCCGGCCAGAAGCTGAAGTCCAGAGGTCGGGAAAACTCGAGAAGAAGGAGTCCAAGTGCCATGTCGAGAGATGCACTGGAGGTCTTGAGGAGGAGGTTGGCAGTCGCCGTGACAGGGCATTACTGGAACAAGTCAGGAGAGATCGCTGGTTTGATCAAAGGGCCATGGGCCCACGACACTGAGCTCCAAGGCACACCGCAGAAAGCATTCAGCAGAGAAGGTGATGAGGGTGCCGGTGCGTTTGTGCCGCTGTGTCGGGCCCTTGGACGCGGAGACCTCCTGCGTGGGGAGGAGATCCAAATGAGGGTGGGAGAAGATCCTGCGTGGACGATGAATTTGGTGGAAGAGGAACGTAAATCCAAAGAAGGCCTTGTAGACTTGCCTCCTGGGCAAGAAAGAAGGGGAGGAGAGGAGGAGAAGAAGGACAAGGATCGAGAGAAGGAGAAGAATTGAAGAAGAAGAAGAAGAAGAGAAGGAGTCGGTGGAGCAGTCCAAGCTCAAAGCATGTTAGTTCGAGGCTACAGACTGACAGACTGGCAAAGTTTTTTCAATTGAAAACTGTGGAGTACTGTGGGGAGGAGGTCGTGTGGGCTCAGTACACCAGCTAGGCCAACTTGGCTCCAGCGATAGTGACATAAGGGTGTGGTGTAGGCATTACGTTGAGAATCTCGCATCTTACATCATGCCTGAGGAGATGCAGCGTTCGATGAGATCACGTCGGGTGATGATCGGCGACGAGGCCTGGCCAGAAGCCTGTCAAGGTTTAGTCCAGCTGGGTGTGCATCGTTCTGCCGTGTCCTCGAGAGTGCGTTCCCCTCAACAGTCTTTGGTGCAAGGATCACCGGCGTTATCTTTTTAGATGTGTCAGATAAAGAGCTGTGGCCCAGGTCCGATATCTTGCCGACAGGGATATAATGTCAGAAGACTTTGGCGAGCGCGCAGACCGCGGTTGTACCGGATGGACTGGGAACCCCTACCAGGCTAGGTTCTGACTCTGCCAGTTGACCGCAAAAATTGAGCGCAAGCAGAAAACTACGCCGCGCCATCAGCGCTATTCCTTGGCGCGAGCTCAAATGCCCTTATCTTTGGCTCCAGCCACTACTGCTTCTAGGGTCCATTGGGAATCAAAAAGTGGCAACGTAGCGCGGCGGTTATCTGCTTCAACCAGGCAGGCACTGGAAAAGCGCTCTCGGCCCACATCTGGCGAAAAAACATTGCAGATTTTTTGACACTCGCTGGGTTAGCAGAACATCTATTTAGGCCATGCAGCTTGTGGAGGGGAGGAGTCCTCCTATTTCGCGAAGCAGAGCCCACTGCAAGAAACCCAAGAAATAGAGACAGTAATTAGTAGAAACGCATTTCAAATTCAAGACCGCCGGCGGTATAAAAAATCAACATGAAAGCAGGAAAGAGATGGGTGGTGGCCTGGATGTTCCCCGGAGTGGCGGGCCCAGGACCACCCAAAGCGACTTGGCTCACACTATCCTCGGTGGCGAGGTAACGGGGGCCTGGGAGGCCTTTTTCTTTGCGTGAAACTCAAGTTTTTTTAATGATTGACCAATTAGGTCTTGCGCGGCAAAAGAAAAAAGTAGCCCGGAGTGAGTCTTTCTTTCTTTCTTTTTTTCTTTCATGTTCAGATCAGGAGCACCCCGTCCTGCGGCTCTTCGTCCGGACTGATTTTTGTCCACGTGCGTTACACTCACCTTCCTTTTCCATACGCCTTGCCCAGATATGGTAGTCCTCTATGTTTGATCACAATGTCCTTGAATTTCTCAATGGGAGTCCTGCTGGACAAGGCTTAACCTCCCACGGTGGCCTTCGATTGCCCCGTTCAGAGGAGCTCACACGGACTTCAAATAGATATAGTAATTTGACTAAACTAGTTGGAATTTAGCACTAGACTAATTTGGTTGTTCTTTTTTAAAACGTCTTCCTTCTTTGCAAAGAGTGAAAGCCGCGCCAGAGGCAGGGTGGAACAGCATGCGGGCAGCAGGTGAGGCGAGCAAAGACATGCCTTTCTCCAAGTTTGGGCCTTGGGGTGAGACGGCGCTGACTGGGTTTTGCCTGACCCACGTGAATCTAGACATGGCTTCATGTTGGACCAGGCTATCAGACGCTGAAAAAGCAGTTGCGGCTGCTGAGTTGAGACTATGTGCAGCTTGTATTTAGCCCAGAGTTGCTGCAGGCAGTCAATAGTTGCAGACGACTTTTTTCCACACTTTATTTACAATCTCAGAAATACGGACGATACACTTATGGAAAATTCATGAAAATTCAATCCTTGTGGCTGATAGTTATATACTGCAGCAACTGCAACGAAGGGCAGCTGCCAAAGAAAGAGGATACGTTGGCTCGGGATAGGTCGGGTACATTAAGGAAGCACGTCCCCATCTGAAAAAATCTTCAATCGAAGTGTAACTTACACATGCCACTAGCGCGCAAACTCCACGATGCCAAGATTGGCAAACCAGTTGCTCTAGAGTCCAGCTGCTCTCCTCCGTACTGGTACAGCGGGGACAAATCCAGCTGGGCATTTGGTATTTTCACTGACAAGACTGCGGAATACAGTGTTGCAAGCAGTTCTACGACAGGGCATGTTGCGATCTCGCAATTGCCACAGAAGCTCTGAAGCAGCTATAATAATTTGAAAACCTCAACTACTCGCATTTTCAGCATTTCAGCACCCCACATAGCAGAGCAACAACTTGGTATTAACTGTGAACAGCTGCTGGGACACCAGAGGCAGCGGAGTCAATGGAGCCACTCTTGGACTTCGACTGAGGCGGGCCAATGGCTTGGCAGCCGCGAATGGCCGTTCTGGACCAAGAGATACCATGAGCGTGACAAAGATTCAATCAGCTCTGAACAATTCAAAGCTCTCTTTCTTTCTCTCTCTCTCTCTGTTACCAAATGCAATGTCTACTTCAATATGTATTTTACGTGGCTTTTCAATGTCATTTTGCTAAGTTGTACGACGAACACTTTTCCCGAGAGCGCCTGCGAAGGGTTGTTCGTAAAAAAATATCTGCAGAACTACGTCTCATCTACATCTTCACATCTTCACCTCTGCACATCCACTGCTCATCTTCACATCTACATTGACAACTGTACATCTACATCTCTGCTCATCTTCGCATCCTCACATCACATCTACATTCACAACTGCACATCTACATCACTGCTCATCTTCACATCCTCACATCTACATCTCACATCCTTACCTCTCATCTACATCTCACCTTCACCTCTCGCTCTTCTTAACTTTCTCTCTTAAGACCGGGGGCAGTACCGCCGGAGCACCACGAAACGCAACCCTCTGCGGAGATCGTGCGTGTCGAGCGCACGAAATGCAGGCGAGAGTGCGATTTGCCCCGGTCCGTCGCAACCCTCTGCGGAGATCGTGCGCGTCGAGTGCGCGAAATGCAGGCGAGACTGCGATTTGGATTTGTCCGGCGCAACCCTCTGCGGAGATCGTGCGTGTCGAGGGCGCGAAATGCAGGCGAGAGTGCGATTTGTGTCTGTCCGGCGCAACCCTCTGCGGAGATCGTGCGCGTCGAGTGCGCGAAACGCAGGCAAGAGTGCGATTTGTGTCTGTCCGGCGCAACCCTCTGCGGAGATCGTGCGTGTCGAGTGCGCGAAATGCAGGCGAGAGTGCGATTTGACCCGGTCCGGGGCAACCCTCTGCGGAGATCGCGCGTGTCGAGGGCGCGAAATGCAGGCGAGAGTACGATTGGACCCGGTCCGGGACAACCCTCTGCGGACATCGTGCGTGTCGAATGCGCGAAATGCAGGCGAGAGTGCGATTTGTGTCTGTCCGGCGCAACCCTCTACGGGACTGTGGACTTTGCAGTACAACTTTAGTACGCGGAGCAATCTGCGGAGCTGCAAGCTGAGAACTGGCGACTTTGTAGTACAACTCGAGTACGCGGAGTGCTGGGGAGCTGGAAGCTGAGAACTGGCGACTTTCTAGTACAACTTTAGTACGCGGAGCAATCTGTGGAGCTGGAAGCTGAGAACTGGCGACTTTGTAGTACAACTTTAGTACGCGGAGTATCTGGGGAGCTGGAAGATGAGAACTAGCGACTTTGTAGTACAACTGTAGTGCGCGGAGCAATCTGTGGAGCTGGAAGCTGAGAACTGGCGACTTTGTAGTACAGTACAACTTTAGTACGCGGAGTATCTGGGGAGCTGGAAGATGAATTGGCGACTTTCTAGTACAACTTTAGTGCGCGGAGTATCTGGGGAGCTGGAAGATGAGAACTGGCGACTTTGTAGTACAACTTTAGTACGCGGAGCAAGCTGTGGAGCTGGAAGCTGAGAACTGGCAACTTTGTAGTACAACTTGAGTACGCGGATGAGTCATCTCTCGCGGCTGAGTCATCTCTCGCGGCTGCTCTGGCGCCCCTGCAGCTGAGCCATGTCTCCCGACCACCCGGCTCTCTTGAGAGGTTGACAAATTTTAGCTACTTTGCTTACTGTGACATTAGTGTGTGTGTGTACTTCACCTTCATGACACAAGATGTTCGCTTGGAATACACGAGTCGCTTGTCATGATCGTGACGTCGTTTACTCTCAGGTCGCCCTGTTCGTGGAAACTTCAGTGTGAAATGTACGTTCTTCAGTTCTATTTGAACCTCTTCAGCGTTGTACTTGCACAACTAAGGGTGACGTTGCACTGCCGTTGCATCGACGCATCTACGTCTACACCCCCTCGCCTCTCTACATTTACATGTTCACACGCTCACATCCGCAGATCTACCTCTCCACCTCACCACACCCACACATCTGCACATCTATATCACATCTGTACATCCACACTGTCGCTCCTTCACATCTGTCCTGTCCTTCTTTCTTTCTACATATCTTTTCTCTCGTCTCTGTGCATTTACATCTTCGCACGCTCACATCCACAGATCTACCTCTCCACCTCCATACATCTACAGATCTATATCGCACCTGCACATCACACTGTCACTCCTTCACATCCACCCTCTCTTTCTCTTTCTATACATCTTTCGACAGTGCTGGACAATTACATGTCACGCTCTCGGACCAACCGTCGTCTAGTTTTTTGGCCACGCTTGTTTTTCTTTACACAGCACACAATGGAGTTTCGAATTCGGAACTTTACTAATTCTCCGAAGGTTCGTCGCGCATCGGCATGTGTATCTCAAGGGAGAGTCTTGGGGGGGGAAGGTGTGTTATACCCACAACAAGCCCTTTAGGAACCACAACAACAATCGGTTTTCCCCAACAAGATAACACCCTACCCCCCAACAACAGTACCCCACCAACTCCGTGATCGTGGAATCACACTGCAGATGGCACTTGTGACCATCCCGGACACGGTGAACCAAATTACATCCAAAGCTCGGTGTGGAGACGAGGAAGACGGTTTATTTAAGACAGTGACTGTTTTGGAACAGAGCACTTAGCGACCATCCCCCCAAGCACTCACTGAGTAAACCCGGTGGGAATATATGTATATATGCAGACGGGTTTGCTCAAGGCGGTGTGCAATTTGAAGCGGTGTCCATGTTGCGTGTTTCTTGCAGCGTTCTTGCAGTGTTTCGTGGTTGTTAGGAAACCAACTGTTGCACGATGTTCGGGTCTTTTAAACCTCATTTCCAGTTCCCAGTGGTGTGCTGCTTTCACGGGTGACACGGTGATTTCCGACGTTCGTGCAACTTCCATGCTGTTATGTGAGTTTTCTCGGATTGAACTACCTGTTGTTGTCGGGACTTTCGGAAGTTTGTGTGCATTGAAATCTTGTGGCGCGAGGAGGGGTGCTATTTGTGGCGTATTTGTTGTTGCGATTTGGATGCGGCTTTTGTGTTGGGTGTGTGTGTGTCCACCCCTGGACAAAGGGTCTTCCACCACCACTCTTACCATGCTTTTCAACTACCTTGGACAACCACCTTATATAGGCAGGGGAGTGGAGCAGGCCTGCAGAGCTCCACTTAACAAAGCTCTCTGCAGTGTCCTGAGGATATCGGCCAGGACGCTGGCCGACGTACCTGCAAACAACGGTTGAGCAAGCTGTTCCAATCCTCTTTTTGTTTCCATGGTAGTTCATGATACCTCCCACAAACTTTCCCACTTTCTCACACAGCTGACTTGTACAGAGGCTCGCCACCGCACACCTGTCGAAACATTGTTCAACAGTACAGTTTTGCTGACTCATGCACCTTTCCGTTCCCTCACCTTCCTTCCCAGCGGAGAAATTGAGCTTTAACGGAAAACCAGTGTCGAAGTGTGTCCCGCTCAGCCGTCCCACTCGGGTGCTGAGTGTGATCCCCGTCATAGGGGCGCCGATCTTGCATGGGGAAGCAACCACCCCAACGCACCACCACTCACTGGACTCTCACAGGAAGGCACCGACACCCTCACCGAATCAACTGACATACCGGCCGCCGGGCCCAAAAACGGTTCTTGAAGAATACTTCGGATTTCAGCTTTCAGATTTCGGATCCGTCATTTCATTTCTCCAAGTCATGTTCGTGTTTCCACGTTTTGCCATATTGATGCCGTGATTCTTTCATCGGCAGAACTCAAGGTTGGGCATTAGAGCTCTTCAGTCTAATTCGAGATGCATGAACACACACCTACCAACAAGCTCACATCTAGCACCACCTTACAACATACTCTCCATCGACACCAGAGATGAGACTTTCAACAACAACATGACAATACAACTCGGCACTTCTCCGCTGCCTTTTTGCTGCCGCGCCGCGCCGTGCCATAGCTACGACCACGACATGCATTTTCCGTGGCCATACGCTCACGCCACGCCACCACCATTACCTACCACACAACCTCAACCCACATGGCCGCTGCCACAGCCATCAACTGCACCCACCTTTCCCACGACACAACCATCGGCATACCCACACCCACAACCACAACCATTTCAACCACCACCTTTTTTGTCCAATCCTACCGCCACTGCACTGACCTACGGCACACCATCCACTTGGACGTTTGTGCAACCATGTCACGTGCCACCGCAGCCCACACATCCAACTCCAGTATTTCCGTCAGCAGCACCTCCCCCTTCATACCTGTTGCCACCACTTCATCCCACACCACCGGCTGAACTTCCTCCCCCCCACTACACTGACACATCCCCCTCCAACACAGCAACAGACCGCGATTGCCAATCATCCATCCACAGACCCACAATGCGCCATCCCCCAGGGCGTTTGGCAACCCTATTCAGCTTTTCCCCCAGTCACACAGCCTCCACCCCAACCATTGCCCCCGCCACCACCTCCACAAACCATCAACGCTTCACCACCAGTCCAGCCTCCACTCCAACACCAGACACCATCCGATCCAGCGCCACCAATCCAACACATCCCCACAACCGCCACGGACGCTCCATTGCCGGTCCAAAACACGACCCCTCCAGCTACCGTATCCCAACATTCTGCATCACCATCGCTTGCATCGGCCACACCAGCACCCAGACCTTCACTACCTGCACCAGACAAGCTTGACACCACTGTCTCACCAGCACCACAACCACCTTCCCCGCAGCCACCACACAGCAGTCGCCGCCACCACCACAAGAACCGACACAAGTCCGACCATCACCGCAGAGGACGCCACCGCCACCGCCGCCGACATCGACATCACCACCACTCCAAGCACCACAGCACAACCCGGCGACGGCGTTCGCCCTCGACATCCACTTACACATCCAGCCTTACACCATCCCGCAGTCGCTCACCACCACAACCCATCGATTTACGCCCCAACACTGAACACACCAACCCAGACCCCTCTCAATTTCCCACCACAGCCGTCCTTCG